CTCATACAAATAAACAAGTACCTTTAAGCTGAGAGAGAGGTCTTTGTTAAAGAGAGTGCCAATGCACAAAAGTACTTCTCTGATTGCCTGAACTAAACATAGTTTAATATTACTTTTGAAAAACTCAGAGAAGAGCAGGTTTTAATCAAACAACATCGCAAATACAAAAAAGGAGAGAGGAGAGAGAAGGGAGAGAATCGTTTTAAACTATTTGACTGTAAGAATTTTAGGACAGATTTAATCTTTTAAGCGGCTGTAGGGAAGCCTTATAATAGGTGGGTAAAAACAAAAGCCTATATCCATTAAAAGATACCAGGCTCAAGTTATTTCCCCTCCATCTGAGTTTGACAAGAGATGGGTACAGTCAACTTGATTTACAGAATGCACGGGATTCAGTGAGAGACTCAGAGCCTGGAGCTTCAAACTGAATCGCTGAACACTAAGAAACTTAGCACGCTACAACTGCTCTTCAGAATCCTTATGGCAAGGACTCAGGGGAGAATAGATATGAAAAACTACAAACTCAAAGCACAAGCAAAAGGAAGAAAAGACTGAAAGTATCACGAGGAAAGCAAAATAGGCAAACACTCAAATCCTCTGCATCCCAGCAGACTTTCCTCACCACCGGGGGACACAGTGCACACTGCTGCTGAACAGTGGGTTCTCTGCAACAGAAAGCAAAAATTCTGGTAAGAGGCTGCTCAGTTCTTCAATTAAATTAATCAAGAAGAAAGAATTGGGGACTGATAGCATGCTCCAAACACAGGAAACAATACCAATGGACTTTAGTGCCTCTGTGATGTTACGCTACATGACAAATTTCAGACATCCATAAAATGGACAATACCATTTCCACATTACTGTGAAATGTGGGCCTCAACAGAGATCATATTAGCCTCCTCAGTGCTTTCAGCAGCAGTAGCTGTGAGTCAATTTTTTTCTTTTAAAAAAATTTTGTAGTACATAATGTTTGTAGTACATAATGTTTGCATGCATAGTGAAGAGTTGGTACATGCCCATAGTACATCTTAATTCTTTTTTTTTTTTTGGTACCAGGGATCGAACTCAGGAACTTATGCTTGCGAGGCAGGCAATGGAACCACTGAGCTAAATCTCCGGCCCACATCTTAATTCTTTTATGCATCAAATTTTAGATATAAATGACAAAACTGTACCATCAATAATTAGGCCTTGGAACATACCTGACAGCAGATCAGCAGCATGAAACAAATGTTTGTTACAACAACATGCTCGTGCTATAGGACCAGATTTACACAGCAGAATACTCAACAAAGTTCTGCATGCCAGAGGAAGGGGAATGTTTCAACATCAATGGATGATGAAAATTTAAATGAGACAACAAAGCCACAAAACCTAAAAGAGACTCCCCACAATACACGCACATGAGGTAAAACAAAATCAACAGAGAGCTACACTTAAAGGAAATTTGCTCGTCATGGGACACAGCCAACCTCCCTTCACAGAGGAGAGCAGGTCCCAGAAAAGTTGGGAGATGGTTTAGGCCAGTGATGGTGAATCCTTAGAGGTGAGTGCCCAAACTGCAACCCAAAACCCACTTATTTATTGCAAAGTGCAAGCACTGCAATTAAACCGGAATACTGAAGTTTTAGTTTAGAAGAAACGACTCGTACATTAACATCTTTTGTTTTAAAAGAAAAACTTGTGTCATAGTTCACCACTACTGGTCCACGCTGAATTTGAGGCCCAGTGTCTCGTTCCACTATTACTGGAGACCAGATTTCTCTCAAAAAACAAAAAAGAAAAGAAAAAAAAACCACTAACATTGTTAGCTGACCCATCACAAGATCCAAAAATCCTGGCGGTCTTTCTCTACTAAGCCTGAAAACTAAAGAAACTAATATTGCCATAGGTGCCTGGAAAAGCCCGAATGCTCAGAAGTGAACACAGGCCCAGGAACCTGCACAGAGGCATTATAGTATTCCTGCAGAAACACAGAGTCAATATCAAATTCTCTTCACATACATTACTCCCTGAGAACCACCGTTCGCAAGAGAAGGGGTCTGAACTCCCCACCGCATCAAGAGCCCTGGGGCAACATCAGAAGAGCCTGCACAAAGCACAGGACTCTGCAACATTCCAAAGACAGGAAAATTTCCTGTGTGCCCAGGCGGCCTTTCCCAGAAGGACTCAGGGTTGCTGAGAAAGGGAAGATTGTGGGTCTTTATTTGTCAGTTCAGTCCTGCCATTCTTAAAGGGCCCCAGCTATGTGTAGCTTTCCCAGCAATCCAAAGGAAAAGACATCAAGCAGATATTGGAATGAGGAAAAGCCAGAAAGGGCATCCTGAGAAAGTGGCAGCCCACTTCTGGAGGAGAAGACAGAGACCACCAGGCCACCGTGGTCCCGCCTGCCCTCAGGGAGCATCTGTACTGAGGCTGCAGGGCACACACCCTACACAACCCAAAATATCTGATGCCTTTCAGTTTATTCACAAAAGTTTTGTTTCCAGCTTTTTCCTTTCACGCTGAAGTCGTTCTGATGTGGCATCATTGCCAACCATGGCTGTTGGGAATAAAAAGGCATGCTACATCAAAGAAAAGTACTGGAAAAGATTAGAGCAGTTAGTCAGGTTAGGAAGCGTAACAAATGAGTTGCTTTAATTCTATGCAACCAAGTTGGACTGGCTCCCTTTGTTGAGTATATGCGAAGCAATATATACAAGGCTTCTAACTGTACATCTTTGGGCCTCTTGTGACAGTTACACCTAGGCTAACGGCATTCAGCAAAACCCAGATTTTATTCATTTGTTTCTGACAAGGTCTTGCTTTGTAGTTCAAGCTGGCTCTGAACTCACTAGCCTCGGCTGGCCTTGAACTCTGGGCAATCCTCCTGCCTCAGCCTCCTGAGTGCTGGGCTCACAGGCATGCGCCACCATGCCCAGCATTCCACATTTTTATAAAACTTCAGGGATCACCAAACTTTTAAATACTGAATTTACCTATTAATCCTATCTAAATGTTTAGACTTCAAAAGGAAAAAATAAAAAACACCAGGTCCTAGAACATACAAATTCATTTTGTTTCTAAAATGCCATCGGAACAAAACAGATACACTATAAAGGTCCCCATTATTGGTATTAAGAATTATTAAACAGTTTGTTTCTAGGTCGTAGTAAACAATTCGAACAACTTAAAGGCCTGAAATTGATAACATTAAAGAATCACAAGAAAATTTTACAACTTCAGTGGTCAAATAAATTTAAAGTGATTTATCAGTCACTGAAGAAAAATACTGACGCAGGCTGGGGATTTAGCTCCATCCCCGATACCAAAAAAAATTGACAGATTCATGGATACTGCCCTTCATTTTCCTCCTTAGAAAGTGACAGAACTGGAGCCCGGGAGGTCCTTCCTCCCCAGCAGGTGTTACTGCCTTTGCAGACCTGTGAGAAGGCCTGTGAGGTGTTCAAAACACCATTACATGCTTCTCCACAGGCGGCTCAGCGATGAAGACACACTTTACCGTTCACCTGTCAGACTAGGAGCTGCAGGCAGGGCTAAGTTATCTCCCAGCAACTCCCAGCTAATACAAGTAAAAGTTGGCCGCAGGAAGTGGTCTTCAAGCTGTTTCCAGTGCTCGGCTAACATGGGAAGGGAAAGGCGCCAGGCCTCCAATGCCAATGTGCTATGGTGGAAAGGCACGCAGGGCAGGGAGTCATTCAACACATTTACTAAGCCACTAGGTGTGAGGGGCCCAGCAAAGAACACAAGAAAAGTACCCGTCCTCACTGAGCTTATGCGGTTGGGAAAGACCTACAACTTAAAAGAGTAAAACATAGGGTACATGACCGAGGTAAGTGCTATGGAGGAAAATGAATGGAGATGCTGAATACATATTTTATCGTTTGCAACTTCCTTCTTTTAAGCCAACTATATGCCATTTAAAGAACTATAACAATAACAGATCTAAAGTAGTTTTTCTAAGCATTTCCCCAAACAGGGATTTCCCTGTCCTGCTGATCCAATTTGGTATTAGTTGCCCCGACCTTGTACTGCCAGTTACCAGCTGTCTGTCACACTGGCCATCTAAATTCTCTATTAGCACCCCACCACCACCACCAAGGAAGACCCAGGAGAAGTCAGACCATTCAAGGGTACCTGAAACTGCTTTTGAGTTAGCACAAATGTCTCCTAATGCAAAGATTAAGATGTAGTTTATGTGCCGAGTTCTGCTGGGCCAAAGCACTGAGAATGCAGTACACATCATCTTGCTTTTTCCGTCCTGTCAATTCTAGTGACATTCTCTACCATTAGCCTATATTTAACCAGCTTACTGGGCACTTTCTCCAGCTTTTAGCATTTTCTCCCTTTTTGTTAAAAGAGCAACCCAGTTTGCAGGAAAACTGCTAAAAGAAAAGATAGCAGGCTCCTACAACATCTGATACGCTTGTATGAGCACTGTTTATGAGCCTTTTAATTAACCTGGTTAGTTAAGCCAGCAAATCAGGTTAAGCTTTGTTTTACTCAAGTTTAAGATGCCCTTTCGGGCGCTAGAACCTCATACTTCGAGGACTGTAACCGCAGCAAGAGAACTGCAGTGGGCCTTTTAAAGTCCGCAAAAGCTTACTTCAGTGTGTGCCTGTGACCCATAACCTTGCCTTTAAATGGAGTTCTCATCAGGGAATGGAAAGTCACGTTTGGCAAGAAAGACCTCGGCCTGGGTGGGGGTCGGGGTACTTAACCCGAGGAGCAGATCCCGGAGGGCTGCGCATCACGCACGCCGGCGCGGAGCTGTTTGTGCGGCTTCTCCCCGGGAGGGGCGTCGGGGCGGCCCCGCCCTGATCGCCTGCACCGGGTCCCGAGCCTCCGGGCTCCGAGGCCTGAGCGGCCCGGTGGGGTGGGAAGCGGGGAGGGCACGGAGGGGCCGTGAGTGTCGCGAGCCCGGCCCTGAGGCGGCCGGAGGCGCAGGGCCCGGGCTGTCGGCGGGGCTCCCGGGACGGACACGCCCGGCCCCGTCTCACCTGATGTACGGGCTGGCGGCTGCCAGGATATTCTTCTGCACCGGGATCTCCTCCCCGTCGAGGACCAGGTGCGCGTCGCAGAAGCGGGACTCCTCGCGGAAAGAGCTGAGTGCTCGCAGCAGGCGCGCGGCGTGCTGAGGGTCAGACACGGCGCTGCCCTCGGCCATCTCGGCGCCCGCTCCTCAGAGGCGGTCGGGCTCGCGAGGCCGCCGGGTCCGACCCCTCGAACCGCCCGCGTCCCCGGCGCGCGCTCCCTCCACACACACGGCGCGCGCGCCCGCCCTGCCAGCCCGGCTCTCAACACCGGGAGACGAAGCCGGTGGACCCACAACGCGCCTGCGCCATCTGTGGCGCGCGGGGCTGGTGCCTTTAAGGAGTCGCGGCGTTGCGACATCTCCCCGCGACGCCCCCGCGCCCCGCCCTCTCGCCCCTGGAGGCGACCAATCAGAAGCCTTCTCCCCCCCACCTCCCGCGGCCTGTTGGGGCGCGGGACGGCGGCGCTGCGCTTAACCGCTGCAGCTGTGAAGGGTGCGCGCGAATATGGGACTCTTGTGGTTCAGCTCGCATCCTCCGAAGCCACGAGTTTGAATCCCAGTCTTTGCTCTTCCACTTTTTAATAGTTTGGCCTTGGGTACGGTGCCCATTCCCAGTTTCCACCTCCAAAAGGAAGACGAGGACTTCTTGATGATGTGGACGCTTATGAGATAATGCATGTGAGCGAGGAATCTGTGGGTGTAGCTTCCCCAAGTGAGAGCACAGAGCCTGGGGAGAGCAGACCCTGAACAGAGCGTGTTGGTTGCACGTTAAGCTGGAGAAACACGCGGGACGCCTTGAACATGGCAGTGCCCCCTGGGCTGTGGTAAGGTGGTTCTTGCTCCCGTGGGCGTCAGGAGCCATGGAAGGATTCACCAAGCTGCCGCGGGGTGAAGGGGTTGGGGTGGGGTGCTAAAGGCAGGTAGACGCTTGGATATTGTAGTGCTTCAGAGAAGGGAATGACGGTGGCCTGGATGAAACGGTACTGAGGGAGGCGGACAGTAGTGGATTACTTTACAACAATGGAAGTGTGAGAGGAAGTCTCCATGTTCTGGGATGACTAACTGCGTGGATGGAAAGGGGTAGGAAATGCGGAAGGGGTGGGGAGTAGAAAGGCCGGATGTTCAGATGTTCAGCCTCTCAACCCAGTGAAGATTAAGACTGTGACAGAAAACACCTCTGAGTGGGCTCAGCCTATGGGGCGAACGTTATACTGTCTGAAGTTTCTTCCGAGGGTGCTGAAAGCACACGGGACTGTGTGTAGCTACCATTTTGTGCAAACATTAGGTACTAAATACACCTCCAAAGAATTAGTCTTATGAGGACCAGAGACCAAAAGACTGCTCAGCATTCCAAACAAACTGCAGGTTGCAATTTTCACTGGATCAGCTCAGCCTTAATCAGCTAACTCAGAAGGTTCCAACAGTCTTGCTAAGGGTTCGGAGTCCTGTAGGAATCAGTATGTAACTGCTTTCAGGGCAGAAGTCTAGGTTGAGGGGAGGAAGTTACTAGTGGAAGATCCACACATTTCCACTTCCTTCTTCGAATGCAGCTCAGTGTATGGATTCAATGATAAAAAATGTCTAGGACTTGCTTCAAAACAAAGGGATGGGGAAAGCAGGTGGGAATAGAGAAGATTTTTTAAAGACTTCTGAATATTAGGCACTCAAAAAATGTTTTCTCAATTGTATTTTTAATTCTTAATTTGTTTTTTCTCACTTGGGCCATTGCTGGGGTCCCAGGAATGTATATGACTGGAAGGATTCTCTACACAGTATAGGTATTTGATAAATGCTTACTGATTAATTGCTTAGAATGCTGCTCTATTCTCCAAATATCAGAGGTTCCAAAATAAAACAAAGCTCTCCAATAATAGAAACACAGTTAGGTAACCAATTATCCCTGAATGGGAGGGTTTCCTTAATTGGGGCAACTGGAAGTGAATAGTCAGGCAGGCTCTTCCTTGAGGAGGTGAACTTCTCTGTTGTTTTACACTTGGTCTTAGGCAAAAGGCGGAGAAGCGATCACTTCTCTGTGGTTTTGGTGGAAAGAGGAACAGGATGACCTAGGCAGAGACTCATAGGCAGTGTCAGTCGGGAGAAAGGTAGTTGCTGGCTGGACATGCTCATTTGTGCAACAGGGAGGTAATCAGCAGAAGAGCTTACATACATTTCTAATACTGCTCCTAGTATTCCCATCACTCTGTCTGCCTGGTGAACTCCTGGTTGTCCTTCAAAGCCCAGCTCTAACAGGAGACAGTGCATCAGCCATCTCTGTTTCCTCTACTTCGCCGTGTTCATGCTTCCTGTGCTCCCCTTGCCAGGACCCCACACTGTAGTGCAGTGGTTTGTACATCTGTTCCCCTACTGGGTTGTGAACTCCTCCCAGGCAGGAGTTGTGTTGCACTGACCGTGTTCCCAAGGATTTACACAGTGGTTGGTCCCCCCCACCACCACCACCGCCATGCCGTATATAATTAGAGGTGGTGAGTCAGATAAATGAGAAAGCAGATGGTGGCATATAGGAGTCCAGACATGGGGTCATTGGGAACTGAAGAACATGTGCCCCTCAACTCCAGCTGATTGCTACATGGCATAAAGACCCGGTAGTGCCAGTCTAGCAATTTCCCACGAGATTCTGGTACTTCAGACCTATGTGTTGAATGTTCTAGTTATTCCACATTAGCAACTCATTCCATTTTGAGGGTGGGTAGCATGGGTCTGTAGATAGGATCTGGCGTCAGTTCATTCTTAGAGGTAATCAGAAGACCCTCTTAGTTTACCACATAGGGTGTTGGCCATCCAGATTGCCAATAAAAAGTGTTGAGTTCAGTTGCCCCAGCAAAGCTCCTCCTGGTGGGGAGGGAAGGGCCCAAGTGTAGGAGGAAGGACTTGGAACTTACCCTCCCACTGCCATAGGAGCCACTCCTGCTAGAGCCTTGGACTGTTTGCGGCCTCTCTATTGCTCAACCTGAGCCACCCTTATTACCTATGACCACCAGAGCGGGCATGGAAGGTGGTTTCCCGATACATTCTATAGGTGTCAGATAGCAGTTGTCATTTTAAAACACGTCATCTAAGAGATTGATGTGATATTGCACTGGCAGTTTCAGTCTCTGCTGACTGCACTGAGCTCTTCTGCTTTGCAGACTGCACAACCCCTAGAGAGGATTTCTCTTCTTCTCCCCATCCTCTTCCTCTCTTCTTTGTCTTTCTTCTTCTACTTCTGCTTCCGCTTCTGCTTCTGCTACTTCTCTTCCGTTTTGGGATAAGGACTAAAAATGATGTTTGTAAGATACTAACAATAATCATTTGCTCAGCACATTTTACAGCTCTACTGTCTGCTGCAGATACATAATGGTGAGGGCAGACATAGCTCTCTTGTAATCTTCCACAGAGGCTTCTTACTTTGCACTTTTTCCCTCTGACATGGATCATGTATCATTTTTACAATCAGGGAAAAAAAGGAAAAGACCCCAAGAACTTTACATTTGCATAATTTTTTTTTTTTAAAGCTTGCTTTTGCTTTGAAAAATAAGCCCACTGGAAGGATCCCCTTGGGAGTTTGAGCTTTCATCTCTTCATAATGTTTAGAGTCCAGAAAAAGAAATACTGTAATGCAAAGAGGAAAAGAAAATAGCAGTTTGAAAACTCTGTGGAAGACGTTGAGCCCAGGGGGTGCACGTCATTGAAGAGCAGAGGGGATCACAGAGGAGCAGGGGTCTCGTCAAGGTCACCTGTGTCCTAATCCGGGCAGCACAGACCAAGGTGCGGAGCTTCTGCCTTCCAGCCCCATATGCTTTTCCATTACACCAGCCTGACTCTTGGTAAACATCAATTTGGTGGAGGCAGCCTCTTCTGATTTATCTTCAGGTCGTCTCCAGACAGCTCGTGAAGTAAATCTGTCACTCATCCAAGTCTATACATAGCTCTTTCTTTCCGAAAACTCTAAGCTCTTCCAGATTGCTGAGTCAGAGAACATCTCAGTGTTTATAACTCTTGAGAGTTGACTCTGTCTATTTCACAGCACCCGGAAAAGTGTCTCAGAACCCAGGAAACTAAGCAAATTGTAATGAAGTTTCTGTCCACATCCATGCTGTACACTGCCCCCGGGCCCAGCACAGTGCCTGACAGAGAGCAGGCAGGCGCTCAGTAAACCCTTGCCGAGTGAATGAATGCTGCTGGGATGAAGACTTTTCTATCCATAAGGGATATTTTCCATAATTCCTCCCTGAACTCCAAACTGGTTTTTCCAACAGCCCCTGTGACATCTCCAGTGGATATCTTAATAGACATCTGAAAATTAATATGTTGGAAAGTAAACTAATTTTACCCTTTAAATGTAATCCTTCCCCAAATAAGTCACAGTGCCACTCATTTACTCTGGAGGAAGCTTGGGGTTACTCTTGACCTCTGTCGTAGGCCCCTCGACCAATTCATCAGCAAATCCTGCAGCTCGCAGGCAGATTCTGAACCCAGCGCCTCACATCCTCCACCAGCACCACTGCATCTGGCCACCTTCAATCCCCTGACCTTTCCTCTTGCCCCAAGCCACTTTCCCTGAGAACTTGGCAATGAGTTTCTATCAAACTTAGGGAGATTAACACCCCTACCATGGTTTACAAAGCCTTGTGTGATCCAGCCTTCTATTTCCTTTGTGGTCTCACTTCCTACCACATCATCTTATCAGTGCACCAACCGAACTGGCCTTCCTGCTGTTCCTTGATTGCCTAGCACATTCCTACCCCAGGACCTTTGCACTTGCTAACTTCTCAACTTGGAGGTCTTTTTCCTCATAGTCTCATCACTTGCTCTTTTGTTTTACTTTAATTACAATTCAAAAGTCATTTCCTCTTAAAGGCTTTCACTCACCCTCCTGCATAGGCCTCACCTTTGCCTGCTTCATCTTTCTTTGTTACATTTAATCACTGCCTACAATTATATATGTTTATTTGTATATTGTGTGTGTCCTCGGATTAAGTACACATTTTCATAAGGCCTGGCAAGCTTTATCACAATTGCAGACTGAAACATGCCTGCGATGTACTATGTGCTCAGTAAATTTATCTATTATTATTATTTTTAAACTATAGACCGCTTTACAAATTTGCATGTCATCCTTGCGCAGGGGCCATGCTAATCTTCTCTGTATCATTCCAATTTTAGTATATGTGCTGCCGAAGCCAGCACAAGTATATATTTATTGAATGAATGGTTTCGTGGCCCTTTTCGTCTCTTGCTGCCTAAGCTGACATTGGCAACTGAGAGAAGGGTGATTATCAGAAGAGCCAGTGAAAGGACCTGAA